TATACATTTTGCAGATGTGTATCATTTCTACCAAACAACAAAGTCATTCCACCAGAGAAAAAAATATTGTAGGCCAATCTTCAAAGATACTTAAACACCAAATATTACAATACCAAGCACATAGATATCACAGTCTACAAGGATGGGGTCCAAATTGTGTTTATCCATGTGAGCCAGTGGTAAGATCAACATACAGGTTGTCAGCATGACTTTCAGATGAGACAAGGTAGACTGAACCCCCCACTGTTAAGTCAGGTGATTGGCTTTATCACCTGAAGCCATCTAATCATGTCACTGAAGTGCACAGGTGACTACCTGAACTGTTTCCGCCCAACGGAGAGGTGGGGCCTCTATAAACACTGATTCCTACATGCATTCTTCCTCATGCTTCTGAGTACTGGCTGCAAAACCAGGAGGTGCCTTTTGTTGCCAGTCAAATGTGGGAACTGAGCAATGCCTAAAAAAGCCAATGCAGGGCCAGCTTTTCTATGGGAAGGTATTATTGCAGGCAGAGACATCAAGGAACATGTAGGGATTTGAATCAAAGAAAAGAGCAAATAAAATCTACAGAAGGAACTCTGCTTCTCTGGAATGTCATTTCAAATCGAATAGAAAACTGTGGAAAATGAACAATGCTGTGCTTAACAGTCAGGATTGCAAACATTGGAAAGAAATTAAATTACCTAATTTGTCCCTTTCTGGGTCACTCTGGACAGTGTCCTCCCCTCCCCCAGTGCTATAGCTTTTTAAATTTTTCTTAAGCAAAGAACATTCCCTCTTGTCTAGCAGGAACATTTCACAACCTAATTTCTTTTCTGTTCGGAATATTTAACACTAGCTATTCATTGTAGGTAGACTTGGCCTCTTACAATTCCCTCAATTCTTATAACCCTACAACTGTTACCAAAATCTTTTCTTTCAAATAATTCCCTCCAGATTTTCCTTGCTTTCATTTTCGACTAACAAAATATATACCTTCATCTATATATGACTATCTACATTCACATGTGCTTGTGGTCTTGGCCTGTTGTCTGTCACTCTAATACCTGAGATTGAGTAATATATAAAGAGAAGAAGTTTATTTGGCTTCACAGTTCTAGAGGCTGGGAAATCTAAGATCATAACACCATAGCAACCTCATACTGCTTCAACTCACAGTGGAAAGCAGGTGGGCAAGTGGGCATGTGTGGGAAAGACAGGACAGGGGCAACCTTGCTTTGTAACAACCACTCTCGTGGTAACTAATCTAGTCCCATGGGAGCAAGAACTCACTCCTCTGAGAAAAGCACTAATCTATTCTCAGGGTTCCATCCCCATGAACTGAACACCTCCCACGAGGCCCCACCTCCCAACACCTCTATGATGACAATCAAATTTCAACTTGAGTTTTGGAGGGGGCAGTCATACCACTAGCTATTTAAGTATGCACAAGCACATGTGTGTGAATATATATGCATTTGTGCATATATGTACATAGATACAAGTAACTTTGGTTGTCTGGTTTCATGTACCAGGTTGAAAATTCATAGTACAAAAATTGGTAATTCCTCACTGTCTTATTTGTAGCCTATTAAACTGGAGATTAATGAAGCAAAAAATCTGCTAGTCAAGTTTGACCCTTCCTACAAAAATGATTTGAACAACTGGGTGGCAGAAGAAGACCTAGAGATTAAGTATGTGGAACACCCGCAAGTGGACAGCCTGAACCTGCACGGGGAAGTATATTACCCCAACCTCAGCTTTGAGACAATGGAGGTGGATTTTGGCTGCATCTTGAATGATACCGAGGTCGTCCGCTACCTTATGATCACCAACTCCAGCCCCCTGCTTGTGAAGTTCCACTGGTTCTTCCTTGTGGATCACGAGGAAATTCAGAGAAGGTACAGAAATCCCATAGACCTCTGCTGTTCATTCATTTTCTCTTTCAGGCTTTGTGCTGCGTTTCCTGTGTTCTTCATATGGTCTTTCATTCATTTTCTTATTTCTGACAACTAAATAATGACAGAAGTAATAAGCATCCTAAGATCCCAAGCTGAAAAAGTAAATATATCTTTGAAGGCCCCAGTCACCTCCAGATTAACAGAGCCATATCCATGGGCCTGCTTTCATTTTGAATCTAGCAGTCAAACAATCACTAGAAATTTTTTACTAAAAGTCTTGTAGAGCTTTTAACTTATTATTTTATTGTGGTAACATAAGATCTACCCTCTTATTAAACTTTAAATGTATAATCCAGTTCCTATCCATTATAGGTACAATGTCATACAGTAAGTCTATAGAACTTATTTTACTTAACTGAAACTTTATGCCCATTTTCGGTACCCATTTTCCTCCACCCCCAGTGACTATGACCATCATTCCAACCTTTGATCTATGAATTTGACTATTTTAGTACTTTAGATAATATTTAGTATTACAGATAACTCGTATGAGTAGAACCAGACAGTACCTGCCTTTAAGTAACTGTCTTATTTCTCTGGGCATAACATCCTCATATTTTACCCATGTTGTCACATATTGCAGAATTTCCTTCTGTTTAAGGCTGAATAATATTCTATCCTGTTGTGTGTAAATGCCACATTTTATTTATCCATTCATATGTTGATGAAAAATTAGGTTGTTTCATGTTCTTGGCCATTGTGGATATTGCTATAATGAACATGGCATTACTAATGTCTCTTTGACATCTTGATTTTAATTCTTTTGGATAAATACCCAGAAGTGGAATTTCAGGATCATACAATAGCTCCGTTTTTAATTTTCGAGGAACCTTTATACTGTTTTCTATAGTGACCGCGCCATTTCACCTTCCCAGCAGCAGTTTTCCCACACCCTCACCAACACTGACTGTCTTATTTTTTATAACAGCCATCCTAACAAGTATGAGATGATACCTCATTGTGGTTTTGATTTGCATTTCCCTGATGATATTGACAATCAACATTTTTAATATACCTGTTAGCTATTTGCGTGTATTCTTTAGAGAAATGTCTATTAGGTCTTTAGCCCTTTTTTGGGGGGGAGGGTACCGGGGATCAAACTCGGGACCTTGCGCTTGTGAGGCAGGTGGTGGAACCATTGAGCTAAATCCCCAGCCCCTTTAGCCCATTTTTAATTGGGTAATGAGTTTCTGACTTTGGGGGAGGCTGCTATTGAGTTGTAGGAGTTCCTTACATATTTTGGAGATAACCCCTTATCAGACACATGGTTTGCAAATTTTTTTCCCATTCCCATAGGTCACCTTTTCATTCTGCTGATCATTTTCTTTGCTATGCAGAATCTTTTTAGTTTAATGTAATTCCACTTATTTAGTTTTGTTTTTGTTGCCTGTAGAGTTTTCTTAGTAAGCATTTCAAACCCTGATTATGGATTGAGTAGGACTATACATTGAGCGTGTGCCCTACATTGAATATTTATGCTCTGATCTATATTTGTCATATGTATAGCCATACACAGTTACAGAATAGTGGCAGGCAGTAAGCACCACATTGTTTTTTCTCAATTGGCAACCAGGACTGGTAGGATTCTGTATATTTCCTTCGTGGATGTTTTGACAGCTCAGTTTTTAGCATGGGCATGTTGAACGGCCATTCTTAACTGAGGAGACCTCATATTGTTTCCTCAGTGGCTTGTCAGTGCTTCCTGTACAGAATCCTCATCTTGTTTGTGACAGCCACCCTTTTCTTTCTTGTGCTTGTTACCACGGTAACAATGACTTGTTCTGGATGTCATCCGTAGACATCTAATGATGACCCAGCGTAGCATTGAAACTGGCAGCCAGTCCTGGGCCTGAGCATCGGAGCCTGCTCATTAAGTGCCATGGACTGCTTGGGTTTGTAATGAAATTCTGTAGATAGTGAACATTTAAAATAATTATGGAAAAAATTGGCCAACCTGACCTAATGCTCTTTGAATACCAGATTTTGTGAAATTATTCTGTTGTAACATAGCTAAATGAGTTTATTTCGTCTTGGAGCAAGGACATCCTTTTTTATTTCTGAGAGGACATTTCCATAATTAAAATAATGACATTATGAAAATGTACTTGGCCAATGGTGAAGATGATGCGCTCGATTTTTTATTGATTTAAGCATTTATTTGACCATTTTTCTTTTCATCATTATCTTCCTATCATTTGATATTGAGTCTCTGCTTCTAAGTCATTTGTCCATTCATTCAATCAATCAGAGTCATTCAGAAAATATTTGATAAGTGGCTTTTGTGGACCAGATATCATGTGAGAAACAAGGGATGTAGAAGTGAATGGTACGTGATCCCTGTCCTTAGGCCCGTGCGGGAAGCAGATGTGGAAACCAGGGTGGCTATGTTATAATGCCAGGTCCTCAGGAAGGAGATGACTGCCCACAGGAGGAGTCATGGCTACATGTTCCAGATGAGGGGCAGGGAAGCATTCTACATAATGGGAACAGCATGTACATGTTAGATTTCATGAATTTATATTCTTGCAAGTTACAGGAAACCTAAACCTATGCAAAAATTAAAAGGAAAGGAAAGTCATTGGTTCCCACAGCTCAAAAGCCCGGATTCATTCTGGCTTCTGCCCTGGATTAAAGCAGATTCAAACAGTAGTGTCATCAGAACCGGGCTCTCTGTCTTTTGGTTCTTCTTGCCTTTGTGTGTTGACCTTATTCTCAGGCCAGCTTTTTCTAGTCACTGAATAGCCACCAACTCTCCTGGGGCCATGTCCTTCCACACTTTGAACCATTGGGACAGAACATCAGCTCTACATTCCCAAATTTCCAGGAGATTCACTCTTATAGGGCCAATTTACATTTCCTGTCCATACCCCTAGTCAGGAGAGTGATACACTAGTCATTGTTGCCCTGGCCTCATACTAACAGATGGACCTCTGGACCACTGAGACAGAAGGAGGTGGGAGTGGGGTAAATCTCCAAAGAGAAATCTGACATAGGAGAGAAAAATGATGTGTATGTACCCCAGTGTCAGCAGAGAGAACTGGGACTTCCCTAGGCTGGAAGATATTCAGGAGATGAGTCTGGAGAGGTGTGTTGGCAGGAGTGTGAGGGAGCCCTGGTGTCCCACAAGGAACTTAGGCTCTTTGTTGCAGGGAGTGGTGAGACTTGTGATCAAGAGAATGGCAGTGTCAGGGTTCTTCCAGAAGATAACTCTTAGCAGCACTCAGCACGGATGACCATCACATTCCTTTCTTGATTTGGAGGGCACTGCATTCTCCTGCTTTTTCTACTATTCCCCAACTACACTTTCTCTCTGCCAGGAAGAACTGAACTGGAGTATTGGGCTTCACCCCAATACTTCAGCCTTCACCTCAGGCCCTCTTCTCTTTCTAACAATTGACTCCCCATGTTTCAGTCAGCCTCTGTGGCTGAGGCCACCAAATGCACATCTCAACCTAGATCCCACTCTAAGAGTTTGAGACCGTGGAATTCTTGACATCTTCTTTTAGATGTCTTTGGGTGACCCATGTCCAACGTGCCCCACATAAACTCTAGTTCTCCTCCTGCTACTTCCTGCCCATCCCTGCCTCTCCTCCAGGGCACCCTGCCCCAGTAAATAACATTACTATTCTCCTGAGAGGTATCAGACTTCTCCCTTCCCTCACACCACTCACCCCACCAAGTCCATCACCCAGGTCTACCTATTAGAAACCCCATTCCCATTTCCATTGCTCTTACCTTGTTTCAAGCCACCATCATTGTTACCTGGATGATTATGACAGCCCTAACTGGGCTCTCTGCTTCCACACATGCACCCTGATCCCTTCTTCACTCAGGAGCCAAGTGCTGAGCATGTGGCCACCTTTGAATAATTATCCATACTTCTCAGAATCCAGTACAAAATATCACAATATTCTATAAGGTTTAGCATTTGCTGGTGCCCGAATTCCTCTCCAGTTTCTTCCTATTGATTCTCCCCAACCATACACCCAGTGGCCTTCTTTATGTTTATCTAACATGCTGGCTTCTCCCTGTACTCCCCGGTCCAACTGCCCCTCTCTCCTGGAAACTCTTCCCCACTCCTACCCAGCTCCCTCCTGCTCCCCCCTCTAATAGCTCAGCTTCAACATCCTTCCCCCAGAAGCCTTTTCTGAGACCTTGCTCAAGCCAGAGTCTGGCCACAGACATTGGTGTCCCCACCTCCTTGGCGACGCACATGATACCTGTACTTATGTCTCAGTGTCCATTTTCCAAGCAGGCTCTAACTCCTATGAGGCCAGTGGGCAGTCTGCCCTGTCAGCTTTAGAGCCCCCAGGCCTAAAACGATCCTTAGCATAGACAAGAACTTCAAAGGGTGATTTTTAGTTAATCAAATGCTCTCTCCTGGGTGTTTGTAGAGAGATCGAGATGGTTTCATAATTGGTTGAAGATTCTTTCCTGTCAGCTTGCAGGCGCCTGCCAAATGGAAAGGTTCAAGGCATAAATGTCACCTACAATAGACCAAAAAAAATGCCACCTGCCCTCCAAACAGACTGTCTGTGCAGACCATCAGAAAAACATTAAAAACACTGGCTAAATGTCATTTTTATCAGATATATCAACACTAACCTTTCTTTTTCAATTAGAATTCTTAAGTCTCATGGTTAGTACAAGAAACAAAAGCATAAGAGAGAGTTTTATTTTTCTTTTATTAGGCAAGAATGAGGATGCACAGATACTCTCAATATTTCTGCCACAACACCCATTCACCTGCTGGGGTGCGTGCATGCATGCATGTGTGCATGTGTGCATCCGTGCACGTGTGTGCAGGCATGTGTGTGCGATTTTGTAAGCTATTCTCTCTCATTCGATAATACATTTTTTCCAAGTTGGCGCTTATGTCACATATAAAAATAAGGAAGTAAAATGGCAAGCATGCTAAATAAGTACTCAAAAGGGGGAAA